ACCTTGCAGCTTTATTTGCTGTGATCAGTGGGAATAAAGTAGTTTTAATATGTTTTTAAGTGGGAAAATCCACCTGAGAGGACATCAACAGTGAATAGAGTAAAATGCTTTTTTATCTTTCTACCTGTAACCTGGCCGATACACCGTCTTTGTTGGCTGCTAAAACCTAAAGAACTAGTCCTAACCTATTACCCCCTAACATTTTGGTCCTTCGAGCCGGATGCAGTTCTCAAAGATAGAGCCAGATGGAATGATGCCTCCTGATGTGAGAACTAAATGGTAGACACACCGACCAGGCCGATTTTATGACTATGATGTTGATTACACAGGTCATGTGTATCCCTGCGACTAGAGATGTCCCGATCCAGGTTTTTGCACTTCCGATTCGACTTCGTTTTTTTTTTACATTGGCCCCTTGATTTTACGTTATTACATCACGTTCTACTCACCCATAAGAGTTTTGTGTCATTTGGAGCCGTTCTGGAGATATTCCGTTATATCCATGTAACGTCTTCCTAAGGGAAACGACTTGAGGGCACAAACTAAACTGTTCATCATTTATTCTTTATGGTATGCCAGCATTCAGAACCTGACATCTGCAGTTATATTTTTTATATTTATAGGTTTTTAAAAAAAAAGCGGAGCGTGTATGACGTCATCTGTACATGCCCACTGGAGTCGTAACAGGAAGCCCGGGCCAAAGGCGGCTACGCTCTACCTCTTCTATTCATTCTAGCTAATCTGAATAGTTCAATTCCATTTGGAGAGTGAGATCATCTGTGGTAGCAGCACTAGACATCTTCCAGGCAGGCGAGTAAAACTAGGAGCAGTTCAGGGGACAGGATTAATGAATGGTAGCCGGCGCACCTTTGCATTTGCAATCTCTACTTGTTTTTCAAGGTAATCTTGAACATCTTTGAGAATCTCGGGGATAGTTTTCTCGAGGAAGTAATGACGGCTGGGCATGTTGTATCGTGGTTCCAGGTGTTGGATGGTGCATCTAAAGCCCACTTAACTGAAGAGAGATAATGGCTCGTCATCCAGAATGATTTCCTCAGCAATGACTCTGGTTATTTTACTTTAGCACTATTAAGTGGCAGCATGTCACGCTTCCCAAATGTTTCAGCTAGAGTTAGTGTTTAGTTGTTTTTCTTGTCGTTGATTTTTTCTTTAGCAAGTCTTGATGTTCTTTGTGGTGATATTTCGCAAAATGCTTGCTCAGATTTGTTGTGTTAAAATGTCTCACAGCCTTACCACCATGCTTGACTTAATTGTGGCGTGTTTTGCACACCACCTCATCTTTTTCGTTGTGCAAGATAAAAAAATCTTCTATGGTTTTCAATGGTTAGGCTGGGACACAGAACTGTGGGTGTGTTGAAGGTGTGCTGGAAAATGTGGAGTGGATTTAGGGAACGCTACCGCATAAAATTGGAATGGATTGTTTCAATCAATTGAACTGGAAAATACGGACTGGATTTTCTTTTTTTTCTTTTTTTTATAAACTGGAACAGCAGTCTGGATCGACATTTTTCCATGCCTTGATGATACGCGTTTTTTTGCCCATATCGGCGTTGAATTTAATCATCTGGCGCATGCCCTCTACGATCTCCAAGGAACTCAGAGCGGAGCGGACGGGAGCCACAGTGGAGGCTGTAGGGCAGAGGTGTCCAACTGGTTCCAGAAAGGGCCATGTGGCTGCAGGTTTTCTTTCGTACCAAGCAATAGCACACTAGACTCCAGTCATCTCATCAAGTGAGTCCAATCTGAAAATGATGACTTGATTAGATGACTGGTGTCTGGTGTGCTATTGCTTGGTTGGAAAGAAGACCTGCAGCAACATGGCCCTTTGTGGAACCAGTTTGACACCCCTGCTGTAGGGTTTGCTTTGTGCAGGCGGTCTGGAGCGCAGCGGGGCGGAGAGCTGACGGAGTATGAGGGATTTCGGGGTTAGCATGACATGTTGCTGTTAGCATAAACAAAATGTGGTGCACAATGCTTGCACACTGTTGCACTTTTATCCACAACTTTCTTTCTGCCGTCATCGTAGGTCACTCTAAATGCAAAGTGGTCCCATACAGCAGACCTATAAAGTGCTGCTGGCGCGTCTTCCAACTCCTGTTCTTTCCCACTCGCCATACCCACACAATTCTCCACTACAACTGATTTTTTTCTGCTACACCCGGCTACGCTGCTTCGCTTCTTCTTCTTCTTCTTGGCTTTGGTCGCAGTACCGCCACCTTCTGCTCTGGAGTGTAATCGCTTCACCTATGAGAATAAGGAACCGCGCATGAACCGAACGCAACACACGCGAACCGAACCGAGACAATCGAACCGAACGGTTCTGACGGTTTTCAAAAATCCCTAATATATATATATATATATATATATATATATATATATATATACACATATACACAAATATATACACACACACACAACATCAGAAAAAAAGAATACGAAGAACTAGAGAAATACCAGGGGCTGAGAAGAACTGGAGAAAACCTGGAAGGTTAAGGCATCAGTGGTACCAGTGCTCATTGGGGCACTCAGGGATGTGACCCTCAAATTTGAAGAGTGGTTACAGCAGATCTCTGGAAATACATCAGAAATCTCGGTCCAGAAGAGGGCAGTTCTATAGTATTATATATATATATATATATATATATATATATATATACACACTATAGAAGATTAGACAGCTCTCCTTGCAAAGCATTATGGAAACAATAAAGGAGGTGTTACTTGATCAATTGAGCAAAAAGCAGTGATCAACTGTCCACTATATAGTCCCCGCTCTATATAGTACTTGAGGGGATTAGGGGTAAGGGTGGATGTTTGGACACAGTAACACAGCAACTTTCAAACAGGGCGTGCACAAGGACAAATGGGCTTTTGCCTGCTCTTGCACGCAGATTTTATTTTTAAGTGGAGAAGTCTTTTTTTAAAAATCTGTGAAAATAATCCACCATACCTTTAAATATGTGGCCCTGGTGCATTAAAAAAACCATTCCAAGGCTCTTTATTGATGTTTCACAAGACAGAAAAAGATTTCACAAAACCAAAAGGGAGTTTTATAAAATTCTAGTTTTATCTGGGAATATTATAAACCAGGTTTGAAGTGTCTCTATAAATTCTGAAGAACATCAAATTAACAACAATTAAAGTTGTAAGAAAAGAGATGGAATAGCCTTTGTTCTGCTTGTTGCGCTCTAAGCTCTTGCATATTTATGATCAAGTTTCATGAAATGACCACTGTTTTAGTGAAGGAGGCCTTGGAGACAACCTTTTTTTAATCAAAATGAAAGATGCTGATAATGTAGAAATGTTTTTAAGAGGTTTGTAGGTGGCTTTAAATTGTGATGTGTCTATCAAGTCTAGATTTCTTTGCAAACATTTTTTCACAGGACAGATATTCATTAATCTTCTTACCTGTGTGAATTCTCATGTGATCCATTAAATGTTCTTCTTTAAGGAAGTTTTCTCCACATGTCAAACAAGGGAAAGGTTTATCTCCTGTATCTCCTGCCTCTTGCTTCAGAACAAGGTGTTCTTCCTGCTCACTTATAGGGAGCTCCATGGTTTCCTCTTTTGTCCAGGGATGTTCTGGTTCTTTCTGCTCTTCTTTTATCTGCAGAGGTTCTGGTTCCTCTTGGTCCGAACTGGAATTTCTCTTTTGTTCATAGAGCTGCTGGTCAGAGAAATCCTCCTCTTTTCCAACATAATCCTGCAGGCGGTCTGGAAAGACAAACAGCAGAAAGACTTTATATTGGTGGTTAAATGAAGGAAACCTTACATAAAAGCACCAAACTCTCTCCTTCAGTTTGGGGAGTGAGTGGATCCTGTTAAGCAACCTGAAGATATGAAGTTCATTCTGGCCTTATTTTTTTTTCCCCCTCAAATAATTATGAAAGAAAGTAAAGAATTTACATCCAACACCACAGTGACTGTCTGGCAAATGAGGAGGTAATGTGACACCCTACCCTCAGCAGCGCTTCCTGTTTACTTCTGGATAAGACAGACCCCAGCTGAATGTGTCAGATTTTAAATGATTTTCGAATAACATTTCTCTGTATTAAAAAGAAGCATTGTGGTTAGAAAGAGTAAATCAGGCCTAAATGATAAAGCCATCTGGAGCAGCTTCCTCATTTTTTGCTTGAAATGTAGACATCAGCAGGGCAATAGGGCTGGTTGTCCCCCTGTAAAAATAGTTTTAATCATAAAATAAAGTGAGTACAGCTATAAAAGAAAGAGATCAAAGTGCCAGAGGAATTCAGTGGTTGATAATTGTAGCCTGTACTGAAGCAGAGGCGTAGCTTTCTGAAGGACTGCTGTGGACACGTCCCCACCGACTTTGGGCATGGAGGGGACAGTCCCCACCAATAATTACCATCATTTTCCCACTGATTTCATTCAGCCACCAGTAACTGGGGTTGGAGAGACACAGCAGCACTTAGTTAATTTTAACTGGCAGCTGCTTCGAAAAGATGTTTCAGTAAAAGTTAGGAGACTGGTTGGTTAAAATAATTAGAGATGCCACCGAAAAATCTTTTCATTACACATATGGAGCTTTTTCAGCTAAAAATGACAACAGAGTGAACATTAATATGAGTCAAAAAGCTGGTAGACAAGTTGATCAATCTGTTTTTAAGCAGAGCAGAGACAGAATTAGGGACAGGTGCAGATTTAAAGGTGAAACAGATTTACTGGGATATGCAACATGCAATAAAAATATATCTCCAGACTTAGAAGAAAAAATATGCAATGCTATAATAAAATTCAACATATCTTTTTGTCTTTTGTAGTTCAAAGAGACTCAGAAATAGCTGTGCCAGCCAACCCAGAGACAGCCAGACTCACAGGACACAGACTTAAAATTAATATATAAGAAACCGAAGAGAAGTAAAACACAAAAAATCTAATCAGTGCAAAAAAGATCTTTGAAATATAAG